TTATGTTTGGGTTGTGGTACGGCAAGCCGCCCCTCTCTAGTAGGAGCACTTTTGCGGAGGCGGAGAGCGTTGCCGCCAAGCCACAACCGGCGGTTCCGCCTCCGATGACTATGTAGTCGTAGTGCCCCGCTACGGCAGATGCTGATGTTGCATCTTTTGCAAAAGAGTTGTATGGCGCTAATATATTCAAAACACAACAAGCAAAGTAAGGCATTATATTCTAGTGTTAAAAGGTACGTCAATTTTACTGCCTTAATAGCTTCAATTTAAAATGTGCATTCAAAATAACAGCAGTAAGAACTATTTAAAACAAATGAAAAATAGATAAAATTATTCTCATTTTTTAGATTTGGAAAGATTGAACCAATAGTAACTGCGGAGTAGTAATTATCTACTCCATCCGTTCTCAAAAACACTTCCTCTTTCATTTTTTCCATTTCCAACAAAACACTTATCTTTTCTATTAAAAAACCACTTTTTCTCTTACTTTTTCATACCCTACCTATCACATCATACTTTTTCTCTAATAATCTATTCATCACATCTTACTTTTACCCATCACATCAGGAGCAAAATTGGAAATCAACTACTACCTCCGTCCCGTGAAACATGGGACATTTGCTTTTTAGGAGGGATTTAAGGGAGTGTATTTTGGTATTGAATTTCCAAAAATGTCCTTTGATGTGATGGGTAAAAGTATGATTTGATGGATAGATTATTAGTAAAAAGGTATGATGTGATAGTTAAGGTATGAAAAAGTAAGGGGTAAAAGTGACTTTTTAATAGAAATGAGAAGTGTTTTGTGGGACGGATAAAAAAAGAAAGGGGAAATGTTTCACGGGACGGAGGTAGTATAATTTAACACTTCTTTATTTTTGCCCCAAATCCAAATGGGAAGTGTTTTTCCAAACGGAGGGAGTAATAAAAAACTTCTTTTTTTTTCTTTTTTGCAAACAATAATGTATTGAATGCAATGATTACCTTTCTCTGCAAGAGAAGATACAATAAGTAAAAGGAAAATTCCAAGACAAGGGGCAACAAAGGGAAAGCTCCTCCCGAAGGCCATCATATATACATATATAGAGAGAGAGTAATATATTTCAACACAATATGATAAACAAACATGTAACACTGATATCTTCTTGTAAGGACTGGTTATATATAGAGAAGAATTTATACCCCTTCCATCTAGCCTAAATTCTTTAGGCTTATTATTCACATGTCAAGCTCAATCTTCTCACTTTACATAATTTTTTACACAACTTCATCCATCCCATAAAACCTTAGTTTTTTCTTTTTTTTCATCCGTCTAAAAAATCTTTTCTCATTTCTTAATAAATAAAAGTGCATGTGGAGAACATTTTTTTTATTAATTATGTTAATTGCTCCTATTTAGAGGAGTTTAAGTTTGAACTCCTATTTTGAGGATATGACATATGTTTTACTCCTAGTTTGTTCTTTAGGAAATTATTTTGAGACGGAAGGATTATTTATCTATCAATATAATGGTTGTATGGCATTTAATTTTGAATGATGAAACTAATGTCTTGAAGACATTGATCAATAATACTCCCTCCGTCTCACTGTCTTTGTCCACTTACCTTTTGACACACCATCCAATGCACTTCTTTAATCCATTTCTTATAATTTGTATATTAAAAAATTATAAAAATTATATATTAATAATCTATATGGTAAGACGAATCAAACAAGATCACACATGACTATTTTTAGGCTTACACATTGAGAGAATTTGATGAGTCAAAGTGCTTAGATGAACAGTTCCAAAAGTCAAAAGTGGACAAAGACAGTGGGACGGAGGTAGTATCATTCTTATCAATTTTTTTAACGAAAATTGTTTTTGTTGCAAACAATATCGAGTATATACTTCATCCGTCTCATAAACTCTTTCTCCTTTCTTCTTTCTTTGTCTTACAAAGTTTTTCTGTTTCTATTAAAAAACCACTTTTATCCTTACTAATTTTACCATACTTATCACATCATACCTATTTACTAATAATCAACACATCACACCTTATTCTTAACCATTATACTAAGGATATTTTCAGAAAATCAACGCAAAACAATAATTTTCTTAATTTTTCTAAAAGTCAAAACGAGAACAACTTAACGCATGAAATATGCTATAACGTACCTTTCTCTGCAATAGAAGATACAAGAAAAAGGAGAAAAATACCAAGAGAAGGCGCAACAGAAGGAAAGCGCCCCCTAAAGGACATCATAATATATTTTGAACACAATATATAAATGCTACCAAACATGGAATCAATAATTAACAACTCTGATCAATTCTTGTCGAGTGTGAATTAATTAGAATAGTTTATTTAATTTCTTTGATTTATAAGGACTGATTTATATATACGTATAAAGGAGAAGACGATAGTTAGGTGATGGACAAAACAATTCAGAACTTGGGAGAGACAGAGAGGAAGGTTGAAGCCTACATCATGGCGACCGGAAAAACATACTCCGTCCCGAATTTAATTACAATTTGGGATTTACGAAAAAAAATCTTTCATCTTTTGAAATTATTTTATTTAAAATTGATATATTGATAAAAAATGAAAATTATGAGTACATATTAAAAAACTACTTCAAAAGTTTTACAAAATAAAATATGTCAAGAATATATTTTATTTTATAAAATAGTAATGAAGTAAATGAACACACAAATAAACAAAAATTATCAAAAAAGAAAGATCAAAAAATTGTAATGAAATCAGGACGGAGGGCGTCTATTCTTTTTACGTGTAATTAAACTTTTCAAGTGCATGAAATTAATAGTCCACCCCAATTTAACATGAAAATTACACTGTTTAAAAGTATATAAAAAAATTCTAGTATAGAAATAAAAATTACAAATTACACCATTAACAGCTATATGAATTTTTTTTACAGAACAATTGATCAAAAAATGTTTAATCTTATTTAATGATCAGTGAAAACATGCATACTTACAAACACATAAGTTGACGAGAAATTCTACTAATAAGACAAAGAATTAATTTGGGATGAAAAGAGTATAAAAATATACACTAATTCGAAGTATATGAATATGTAATTTTAATTAAAAAACCACATTTTATATTGGTCACCAACAATGCTAAAAGGATAAATCCGAGTTTGATTTCTGACAAGTGGATTAAAATACAATAATTATACTCCGTACTAAGCATACGTCCTGTGTCACATTTCACTAGTTTTAGTCTGTGATTATAATTCAAGTTACTTTATTTCAAATGACTGTGTAGTCGATTATGAGATAGCCTTCGAGGAAGGGACTCATCCTACTTTTTTTACTCCCTCCATCTTGAAAGTGATTATTTGTGTAAATTATGGTTTATTTATATGTTTTTTTTGTGTGTTTGCATTGATTATTCCCTCAAACACAGTTATTTTCTCTTCTCACTAAAAAATTGACAAATGTGCAATCTTGATATTATTTTTTCAAATTATGACTCATCTATCATACACATTATATCCTATCTTATTTTAAGGTAAGGCCAAATTGCTCTCGTACCCTCTATAGTTTGGTAAATGGGCATTAATACCCCCTTTATTTTCAAAATTTATTTCTAGAATCTCATATGGTTTCAAAATCTTTAAAGTCTCATAATATTTTATATTAAAAAAATATATTTCCTTCCTAAAATTATTCTACATTCAATTTATTCATTATATATATATATATATATATATATATATATACACACACACATACATATACATACATACATACAACATCTAAAGTTATACAAAACAAGAATTAACATTACTATATTATTTTATTGAATGTTTAATAAAATTAAAAGAGGTAAAATAATAAAATTTGACTATACAAATAATAATTAGGAAGAAACTTTTAGGGCCGAGAGAATAGTGGACAAAATGCTATATATTTTTTTTGACAAAATGCTATATTATTAAAATATTCCAAGCTCTTGAGAACAATAATCGATGAATGTATAAAAAAGAATACAAATGAAGATATGAGTAGTCATGACGAAACGGATGAAAAAAAAGTTTCAGACTCATAAAAATGAGGTGGCAAACAGAGGCCACGGACCTGTTTGGGAATAACTTTAGTAATTAGTGTTAACGTTTTGAAAAAGTTATCTACGGGCAGCGTTTAGCGTTAGCGTTTTCAAAGTAATCTGCACCGTTAAAATTTATCCAAAACGGTCATGCTAATCTCTAACGGTACGGTGTTCCCAAACAGGCCCCACATGTATATGTTATTGAGATATGTATGAAGTGTTTTAAAACCCTCTATTTAAAAAGTGTACTTAAGGAATTAACATATCCATCATTTTTTTTAGGTTTTATATATATGTGTTAGGGACTTGTTCTCTTCATTTAATCTGAATGATTCTGATTTGATGGAATATGTTTTGATCTGATTTAATAATATCTGAATATAGTTATATTTAAACTGGTTTTTAATCTGATTTAAACTGAACTCATTTCTATAAGAATAAGTTATCCTCCATCCGGCCCTGATAGTTTTCCATTTTTAATTTTTTAAATTCAAAATTAGTAAATTTTGACTTCAAATTAAAATAAAAATGATACTACCTCCGTCCCACTGTCTTTGTCCACTTTTGACTTTTGGAACTGTTCATCTAAGCACTTTGACTCATCAAATTTTCTCAATGTGTAAGCCTAAAAATAGTCATGTGTGATCTTGTTTGATTCGTCTTAACATATAGATTATTAATATATAATTTCTATAATTTTTTAATATACAAATTACAAGATAAAATGGATTAAAGAAGTGTATTGAATGGTGTGCCAAAAGGTAAGTGGACAAAGACAGTGGGACGGAGGGAGTATTAGATATTGATACAGAAATAATTTTATTAGATTTATTATATAAAATATTTTTAAAATATTGTTTTATCTCATCGATATATAATATAAATTTTATTTAATTATAAATTAAAAACGATTGATTGAAAAAAGTTAAAACAGAACAAATACTAAAGACATTGAATAATAAAAATAATAAAAAATAAGTTGAAAAAAAAGTGAAAAGCCCAAATGAGGTTAGTTGGGTAACATTTTGATGGATAGTTTGAGATCTCCCCGGCCCAACCATGTTCTTTAACGGAGCCTTTTTTATAAAAGGAAGCCGTCTTTGCTTTGCCTGTCGAGTCTTAGGGTTCGTTTCCGCCAAACTCTCGTCTTCCGCCTCCCGCCTCCGGCGACGATCCATGGTAATCTTTCATCTGTATTTGTTTCATCGATCCCATTATTTTTCAAAACATTCTACTCTAAGTTTTTAGAAGAATATGATTACTTATTTTAATTCCTCTCTAGAGCATTAATGCAATTTCCTGTCTATCGTTGTCAAAATTGTTGCCATTGCCAAATGCTTGATTCAGTGCATTCTTTTTTGGCGCAGGCTAAGAGGACCAAGAAGGCCGGTATAGTGGGAAAGTATGGTAAGTTTTTTTCGAAATGTTTTGTATTTTATGTTACCTTTACCCATTTTGATTTCCATCCTTGAAGCTTGGAGGTTTTGACCTTTGCTGTGATCTTGCTATTTCAATAAAGGTACCCGGTACGGTGCTAGTCTCCGGAAACAAATTAAAAAGATGGAGATTAGCCAGCACATGAAGTACGACTGTGAGTTTTGTGGGAAGGTATGTGCCCATATATTGGCCCCCCGTTTGACATCAACGTTAAATGTTAGCGTTTTGAAAAGACTATCCGACGGTAGCCTTTAGCGTTAGCGTTTTCAGAATTTATCCAAAACGCTAAAGCTAATCGAAAACAGTATTCCCAAACAAGGCCATAATCTTTCTACATTTCACATTATTAACTATATGTTTGGCTTGAGGATTTATGGAAGAAAGAAAAATCCTAAGAAATGGAGAAGAAAGTCAATGAAACCAAAAATTCTTTATCCACTGTGGGTGCAGTGTGCAGTGAAGAGAAAGGCTGTGGGTATATGGGGATGCAAGGATTGTGGCAAAGTCAAAGCAGGAGGGGCATATATCTTGAAGTAATTTTTCAGAACTTTCCAACTCTTTTGTTATGCCTTTTCAACATTGCATATTTCAAACATTTTTTTTTTCATTTTTTCTAAAAAACTTGCAATAGCACTTCTAGCTCGGTGACGGTCAGAAGCACTATCAGAAGACTAAGGGAGCAGACCGAGAACTGAGTTGCATGACCCGTTCGTTTTCTTGGTTATGATATTTATCTATGTTTCGATATTCGACTTTTGTACTGTAAGTTTCCCATTTCGATTGAGTCTTTGTGGTATTCAGACTATTTTTTGATAAGATTCTCTTGTAAGGTTGGTTGAACTAGCTGGTTTTACATTCATGACTAAATATGGTTTGATGCACTCTGTTTAGTGCCTTCCTCCCCTTTGTTGCTATGTGTGTTTTGTTTCTGTACTCACACCCACACTTGATGCATCTCACTTTTGTCAAATGGTCTTTGCGTGGGTCTATGTGGCTGCGTGTAGGATAGTTGTTAGGGCAGTGGGGCATATGGCGAATGTGATACTGTGGCATTTACACAAACACATGTATATATGTAGGGGTGGACATAGGTCGGGCTTGGCGTACCGAATAGGGTCTTGTGTTATTTGGAGTACCCTTTGCGATCGGTGGAGTGCGGGTCGGATTCACCAGGTTGGGATATGTCAGAATTTTCAATTGGATTGTAGAAAACAGCTGCATAACATTCACCAGAATAATTAAAATTGCATCACAAGTTAAATTGTTGATGATAAAGTTCTATCAAAATTCATGTGTATCAGTCAACATTTTTCATATTCCAAAAGAACAAAAGAGAATACAACTGAAGAAAAAGGGAAGTTAGAATCTTAAAGAATAAAATGAAACACCAAAGTTTCGTGATGGATCTATTTCCAATGGAGAGAGGGATAAACTAGGTAATTTTGGGAGTGATAATAACGCCGCCTAGCAGCATTATATGAACGGTATGCAAACTAGTGTGAATAAACTTGATAGACTAATGCTCGAAGAGCAAGGCGCAGAGATTTGGACCACTCATCGTAATCATCTCCCTTCAAGACAACCTGGGTCAAAATCATACCCGGATTATCATTTGGAGACAAATCATACGGTGAGATACGACGATGTCGCAACAAAACGTCATCATCTTCATGCTCCTCAGGTTTCTTTCTCGAGACTATTTTTTTGGACTGATCCTTAGACATGGTAACGGCCGATTGAGCAGCAACGACAGAATAGCAGCAGTGGTACACGGCTCAACGACAGTCGGCGAAGAGGTAGCGATGGTTGACTTAGTAGCAGTGGCGGAAGAACAACAGTGGCGTACAACTAAGTACCGATTGGCCAAGAACAAGAAATTTTAGGCTTTAGGTTTCGATACCATGAAAGAATAATATTTTAGGAGAATTTCTTTTGTATTTCTGATATTCAAAATATGAACAAAGGCTGTATATATATTATCCAATAGGGCAAAAACTGTATATGGAAACTAAATACAAAACGAAAGAAATACAAAAGGAAATCAACACATATCTCGTATTTCTTTCTTTTGAATTTAAAAATAACAAAGCATGTGTGTATAATTTGTTTAGATAATAGAATTTATTGTTCATGCCTTTTATTTTTACAAAAAAAAGTTGAAATTGTAAATGTTTTTTTGGAACACTCAAATGAGAGAAATTTCTCTCAGAATATTTGAGAAGAAATCTTTGCTAAAAATCGATGCAATTTCAACTTTTTTTTGTAGTAGTGAATGTACATTGTTTAGTTACATGTTATTTTTTATCGTAAAATTTGTAAAAGATAGTTCGACAAAAATGATGATATCTTTAATTGTACAAACTCAACTTTTTAATACTCTATAAATTATGTGTTTGTGAGAATTTTATATTTTCTTAAACATGTGTTCTAATTATGTGTTGTAATGACTAATGATAAAAGATTATCTCCTTTGTAAAGTAGAGCATTATACTTATCTTGGAGTTTAGAAAGAGCAACATATTTTTAATAATACAACAATATTTCTATTGAATCCCACATGAATATGATTCGAGAAAGGTGTGTGTAGGTAGTCCTAGTCCTAATGCATACCCTAAAATAGGAGTGAACATATTATCCGAACCGACCGTGTAACCGAAGTAAAAAAACCGAACCGCCCGAAATTTTCGGTTTCGGTTTCGGTTTCGGTTTCGGTTATTAGATGTCTGAAAATTCGGTCAATTTGGTTATTCGGTCGGTTTTCGGGTTTGGGCTTGAATAATTAAACCCGACCGAATAACCGAACTATTACCCAGCCCAAAACAACAAAACGGCAAATACCCAATCCAAATAAAACACCCAAACCTAAGCAACCCAAGCCCAAAAACTTAGAAAATGGAAAACCCTTATCTCCCTCGTCATTATCGTCATTCTCACTTCTCCGTTTTCACTTTTCTGCGGCTCTGCGCCTCTGCCTCGCCACTCGCCAGTCATCATCATTGACCCATCGGCCAGCGTTGCTGTTGCCGTGTCAAGACGACGACGGTTCCGGTATGTATTCTCCAATCCCCATCGTCATCTCAAAGTTTTTCCTCTATTATTTATTTGCTTATTATGCTTCCAATTATCTTTTCTTACTTTAGAAGGCTGGATGAGGCTTGAGTGCCGATTAAAAATATTAATACTATTTAATAACAAAATCAGAAACCAATTTTTGCTATGTAAAATTCAATTTTCCCATGCCCCTACCTATTTTTTGTATATGCAGTTCGGTTTTTAATAGCCGACCGAAACCGTTCGGTTAAAACGGTTTAGGGTTTTTTCGGTTACCCAATTATCTCGGTCGGTTTTTAGATAATAAAAAATAATTCAGTTAGTTCGGTTTTGAACCGAAACCGGCCAAACCGACCAGACGCTCACCCCTACCCTAAAATAGGTAGATTGGTTCCAAGGGACCTTTGGCTCAAATAACAAATATAGTACAATATCAAATAAGAAACATAAAAGAATATATTATCATTTCCGAAGTTTATGAAAAAATTCATTGATTCAAATAATGATATGCCATGTAAAATTATTAATCAATTTTAAATTTTATTTAGAATTAGACACTAATTTTATATAATTTTTAAATTTTAATTTTTAGAAAAATATTATTTAACGTGCAAAGCACGAGTATGATTCTTGTTGTAAGACAAACAAAATTATCATCTTCATGATCCGTAATAAAGTAGTTGGGCTGGATTCCCCTTCAAATTCTCGCGAACTCTCCAATATATGCCCACTTATAAAATATATTAAAAATACACATGACCAAATTATTTATTTAGAAATAATATCCTCGATCTCAATTTAAAAATTATTTAGACATACAAACTTCACACACTCATTTGTGTATGATCTTAATTATAATTGAGACAAACCCATTTCAAATATATTACAGTACGTTTCATTTCAAGAAATATAATTCAACTTAGTTTTTTCTAAGCTCATTCAGAAGTTGATTGGTGCCGCAAAATTTTGAGCCCCATGTACCTGCATATGAAAATTGGGGTAGAGAATTAAAAAATAAAATTTATATATTTAAAGTTATATCAAAAGTTTTTAAAAAATAAAAGTAACATTATTATATTATTTTATCAAATGATTAAGAAAAGTGATTAAATTTTGGTCATGTAAATAGCAAATATGAAATTTAAATTGAAAGAGAGGGATGGGAGTACCTTCCAAACATCATGGTAGTTGCTTGAGGATTAGTTCCAAGGGCACTAGGAAATATGGAGGCATCAACTACTCGCAGAGCGTCGACACCGATCACTTTATAATCGCGATCGACAACGCTGTCCACTCGGCACCCGCCGTGGTAGTGCCATGAGGAAAACATATTGTCCACACAAAACTGCTCCAACGAAGCAGACTCGACGCGATGTTTTGGCCTCTGGTTGATGGGAATGGACGACATCAAGTCCAAGATAGATTCGAACGAGGCCGAGGGATTTCGAAACGAAGCTAAGGCCTCTGACTCGAAGACTTTTTTGAGGACTTCCATGCCCCGCACACACGTTCGGAGGTCCCTCGAGTCTTGGAAGTAGTTAAAGGTTACCGTTGGGTTGTCATTTGGGTCCTTGTTCTTGATTTCCATATGCCCTTGGGAGAAAATTTTACTCACCTTTGAATTTAAAAGCCCACCTTGCATCTTCATATGTGGAAAGGACATGTCAACGCCAGCTTGGGTGAGGACTTCTATGGCTTTGGGGACTAGAGTCAATCCACTCACTGTTTCAATGTAATTTCCCAAACGGGTTATGCCCAACACGTCAGAAATTGAGGCCTCAATGGGCCTAATGGATGGAATTAGGATTGCATTCACTGGGTTGTCACCCATTAATTTCCCAACCATTGGTTGATCCAGCACTACATCTATTCCCTGGGCTTTGAGATGATCCGACGGCCCAATACCGCTCAGCATCAATAGTTGTGGGCTTCCAATTGCACCCGCCGAGAGAATAATCTCATTCTTGGGCCCTCCGTTCAAGAAAGCTGTGTGATCATTCCCTTTCGAGTCTTTAAAAAGAACTCCATTGGCCGTGGGTTTCCCCCTGCATTGTTTAATTAATTACATTTATCTCATTCATTATTAATTCATGTGAATATTATTTTACTGCATGCTTTCGTTGATCATTTTCTAATACAGTAAGTAATTGACCTGGTGAAGGTGTCTTGAATAATATTTTGTGGGCCACAGCATGGAAATAAAGAGTGATCTTAGTGTCATCGGCATACTCCAACAGATCTGCAGCGCTATGTCTGTATCCGTCCTCATCAAAGAGAGAATTCCCTATTTTGGTCCCCACTAAGTGCTCGTAAGTCCCTCCGTTGTACGGCTCCACCCCGGCCTCCACCAACCCGTCCCTCACGGCCGTCTGCCACTTCAACAATGTTTTGATCCGGGAAGTCAACTTCCTCTTGACCCACAAGAACGACTGGTTCACCAAGTGAGGGTCCCACCCCTCCTCGGCTACCTCCTCGTTGCTTGCTCTCGAGTACACCCCCGCGTTAATGGCCGACCCGCCGCCTAGAATGCGGGCCCGCGTCAGCAGCGTGCCGTCCGTTGACCCGAAGTGTTGTGCGGCTGAAGTTTGTGACGTGTCGAAAAGCACCGGCACCAAACCGCTTTGGTGCATTATGTTTGGGTTGTGGTACGGCAAGCCGCCCCTCTCTAGTAGGAGCACTTTTGCGGAGGCGGAGAGCGTTGCCGCCAAGCAACAACCGGCGGTTCCGCCTCCGATGACTATGTAGTCGTAGTGCCCCGCTACAGCAGATGCTGATGTTGCATCTTTTGCAAAAGAGTTGTATTGCGCTAATATATTCAAACACAACAAGAAAAGGCATTATATTCTAGTGTTATAAGGTACGTCAATTTCACTGCCTTAATAGCTTCAATTTAAAATGTGCATTCAAAATAACAGCAGTAAGAACTATTTAAAACAAATGAAAAATAGATAAAATGATTCTCATTTTTTAGATTTGGAAAGATTGAACCAATAGTAACTGCGGAGTAGTAATTAACTAATAAAAAACTTATTTTTTTTTTCTTTTTTGCAAACAATAATGTATTGAATGCAATGATTACCTTTCTCTGCAAGAGAAGATACAATAAGTAAAAGGAAAATTGCAAGACAAGGGGCAACAAAGGGAAAGCTCCTCCCGAAGGCCATCATATATACATATATATAGAGAGAGAGAGTAATATATTTCAACACAATATGATAAACAAACATGTAACACTGATATCTTCTTGTAAGGACTGGTTATATATAGAGAAGAATTTATACCCCTTCCATCTAGCCTAAATTCTTTAGGCTTATTATTCACATGTCAAGCTCAATCTTCTCACTTTACATAATTTTATACACAACTTCATCCATCCCATAAAACCTTAGCTTTTTCTTTTTTTTCATCCGTCTAAAAAATCTTTTCTCATTTCTATTAAAAATTAACTTTTAGCCCCACTACTTCTTAACTTACCTATCACATCACATTTTTTCCCCATTAATCTATCCATCACATCTACTTTTACGTATCACATCCAAGGGCATTTTTTGAAAGTCAGTACTAAAATACACTCCTCTTAAATGCCTTAAAAATTAAAACAAAAAATATTTTGTGGGACGGAGGGAGTATTTGATAAAATAGCATACTGATGTCATCTCATGATATTTCTTTACATAAAATGATCGAATTTTTTTAGCGGGTCGATATGTTAGGGTAGATTAGAATGCAATGAGCTTAGATAATAGGGTCGATATGTGTCGTGTTAGCGATTTTATGTTTAATACTCCGTAAAAGCATACCCATTCTCATTAAATTCTACAAATTTTAAAAATTACATCGATCAAACATCATTTAACTTGTGTCAAGAATAATCCAATAGCAAAGTATACCGACTATATATATGTTAGGTGCTCTATTTCACAAAACAATGTGTAACGAGATTGGGGAAGTTAGATGTGAACATCACATATTTAGGAAAATTAAGTTAGATTCTCCCATACAAAAATTGTTTTGGGCGGCCAACTAAGAGTCTGGTTTTTAGGGATTGAAAAAAAGAATTGGATATTTGAAAATACTAGAAAAAAACTCAAAAAAAATTGGAAAAATTGAAGGAACTAGAAGAAATTAGAAATAATTGGAATGAACTGGAAAAAACTAGAACAAACTGGAAAAACAAAATAAAAATTCAAAAATTTAATTAAGTGTATTTCGCATAGTATTCTTATTATAAATGTTGTTGGTATTGTTAATATTATTATTATTTCTATTATTATTATTATTATTATTATTATTACTATTATTCATAATGGGTAGGAAAATAAATAAAATTCAACCATGTAAATATTGTACCTGTCATTTAATTAGTGAGAGAGGGAGTCTACTATAATTATTATTTTTAAATTTAAAATATTGGTTTTTTTCAGGTTAAATTATATTAATAAAATATTCATAATTCTTGAAGCATAGTTTAGTATCAGGTAAACTTAAAAATAACAATTTTCTTAATAAAATTGTACTTCGTATTATTTATATTAAAAATGGATGAAAGAATAATAATGAGCGAGTGTGAATCCCAAAATAATGACATGGGAAAAATAAAAATACAAATATTGAAATAACTTAAAAACATTACTTATAATATTAATAGTGATAATACATAAGAACATTTTATCTTTAGAGTCACTATTCGAGAGTAAAAAAGATTGAGGAAAATGGGTATAGTTGGCAAAACAAGAAGATATTGGAAAAAATTGGGAGAAATTAAAACAGACTGGAATGAACTGGAAAACTGGAGAAACAAGAAAAATTGAAAAGAATTAGAAAAAACTGTCATTTAAGAGTTAAAGTTCTAAAAAAACACATAATCATGCACCCTTTCTCAAAAAGAAAAAGTTAGATTCTCCCTTTCTCAAAAACATTTTGCAATTAGATTAGAATAAGAATGAATAATTCATCTTTTCCACCCACAAACACAGGCCATTAATGTCAAGGGAAATTGCACAAATATATGTATGTGCGCAAATTAATGAAAATGTTCCAAATTGCGTAGATAGTGACGTGCCCTAGTTTTCACTTAATTGTGCAAGAACCAAATAGAAAGAAAACCATGGCAAACTTGTGAAAAGGATTGTTAACAAGTGTTAGCAATGTACTCCGTATTAATTTGTAAACACGCTTAGGACCTTAGATTAATTGGCCGTGTTTAGAGTCCACTTGTAAACTTGTATATGTACTTGATCTCCATAATGAAAATTGTAGATCAATTGTGCATAATTTAGAATAAGAGCTCGTTCTCTTCGTCTGATTTGATAAGATCTAATTTGAGATTTGATTTGATCTAATATCATTTAGTTCCAATCAGAATAAGTAATACGACTAATTAATAAAATAAGTTGAAGAGATCAAGCAATAAGGCTCGCCCTAGTTTGGAATAAGAAACGGATAATTCTATTCTTATTATCGAAACAGTACTATACGTTTCTCAATTGGGTGCTCCAGAAGAGTAACAAAGCTATTAATGGATTAAGTTAGTGAGCTTATTCCTGTGCTTGAGTGCTAAGAAACTCACTCCTCGAGGCACGAGAGAGCTTAATTATCCGAGTTTGAGTTTTAGCAGAAGCAAAAGCATTGGCTTACCATGCATCGTTGGGTGGAGAAAAGATATGAATAGATACAACATTGTAATCGAGTCAATAACACTAAAATAAAACTTAAGTTAGTACTGACATGGTCAGTCAATCACACCCAATTAACAAAGAGCAACGGGGTAAAATGAAATTGTCTTTTGTATTAATTTTATTTAAAAATTTGTACTCATAAAAAAATAACAGCTTTACATTTAAAATTAAAGTTCGAGAAGGTTACAATGACGTTAAGTTTCAATGTCATGGGATGATACAGACTTTAATTAGGTTATTAGGGCCCCTACGCATGTCTGTTCGAAAAATTGACGATTTCTACCTTCCTAACCCCTTTGGTAACCCTCATGTTACGGATAAACCAACCGGTGTACCCTAGTTAGAAGCAGAGGGAAAAGATGGCAACAACAACACGGAGAACGCGGGGAAGGAAAGTAACACAGAGATGCCCAGCCCGTCGGAAGAAGAACGGGAAACGCATGTGGGCCCGGAAGAGCATGAAGCCCATGCACGTCGTGGAACGAGGCAAAGAAGGAGTCCTTAGTGGAGGAAAGATTACATTTAGACATTGGCTTATTTAATAATGTTTTAATTATTTAATTATTGTATTTTAGTATTTTCCTAGGTGAGCGAATTATAAGCTCCTTCGAGGGTTTCTTTACGGTTCTTTATCTCGTCGCTTTTATTGAACCGTCAGGGTAGCAAACATAGTCATTAGGGTGGAGGTCTCTATTATATATAAATAGAGATATTACTCCTTAATAAGAGGATAACAAGAAAATTACCAAAACCCTAATTCTCTTCTTATTCTTGGGCGTGTGGTCTCTGCCGCACGATTCTTCTTCTCTGTTTCGTCTCTCCCTTCTTCTTGGAGTCCGGAGGCACTCGAAGCTCTCCCTTGTTTGTTACATGTTCGTATCAATTGGTGCTCTCATTGCCCTCATCATGTCTCAAGAAACCGGACGTGATGATGAGGTGGTTGCACTCAAGAAATCTGTCAACCAAATGCAGCAAGATCTGGAGCAACGTTTTGCTTGTTTGGAGGCGTTAATTCTCGCCAGTAGCAGCAGCCACTCGGACACGCCGAGTGGATCTCGGGGCCCCCATTCAGACGGCGAATCAGGAACAAAGACAGGCGGGTATGTGCCTCGCCCGAAGTTGGAGTCTCCTAAATGTGATGGATCGGACCCTCTCCGATGGCTTTACAAGGTTAAGGAGTACTTTGCTTTTTACGCCACGCCCCCTGACGAACGGCTACGTTGCGTGGCCCTCATGTTGGAAGGCGCGGCCGCCGATTGGTTTCAATGGCGCTCCACTAATGGCTTACTCCATGGCTGGGAAGATTTCGTCGCAAAGTTCCGTCAACGCTTTGATCCCTTACACTATGTGGATTACTTCGGCCAACTAGCCAAATTGCGGCAGCGTGGGTCTGTCATGGACTATCAAACTGAGTATGAACGTATTCTTCAACATGTCACCGGCGCTAGTGAGGAGGTCTTGATCTCGTTATTTCACGCCGGGCTCAAACCTCATCTTCAACAAGAGATTGTTTTGCTTAAACCCCAGTCTCTCTCAGATTCCTTTGCTTTGGCACGCGAATTAGAGGCCAAACATACCGCTCTTATTTCCGCAGTGGCGCAGCGGCCTACGTCCGGGATCAACGTTCCATCCAACCGTGGTCCATTCCAAGGACCTCCATCTACTGCCGGTCTCTTACCCACACCCAAGAAGACCCCAGGGGAAAGCATTCCTAAAGCTCCTGTCCGCCGCCTTACAAGGGCCGAACGCTTGGAAAAAGATGCTAAAGGACCATAGCGTCCACCTTAGAGTTATCCACCCAAAGTTCCCCGTTGGCAATGATGTGTCCTAAGTACGGAATGGATGTGGTCCCGAATGCACATTTAGATCGCTTCACATAGAACTGATTATCCCGTAATACTCGTAGAACTGTCGCCACATGAAGCTCATGGTGCTCCAAAAATGGGCTATAGATCAATATGTCGTCAAAGAAAACAATAACCATCTTGCGCAGATAGGCGGAAAACAAGTTGTTCATACATGCCTGAAAAGTGGAGGGAGCGTTGGTAAGCCCAAACGGCATCACGAGGAATTCGTAATGCCCCTCGTGCATGCGAAATGCCGTCTTATAAATGTCCCGTTCCGCCATTCGGATTTGGTGATAGCCCGAACGCAAATCGAGTTTGGTAAAAAACCGTGCTTCCCCTAATTCATCGAAGAGTTCATCGGCGGTGGGGATTAGGAAATGGTCCGGTACAGTCACCGCGTTGAGCGCGTGGTAATCCACACAAAAACGGAAGGAACCATCTTTCTTTTTGACGAGCAACACCGGTGACAAAAAAGGGCTACGGCTAGGGCGAATCAAACCCTGCTGCGCCATCTCCTGTACCAAACGTTCTATCTCTGTCTTTTGGAAGTGGGGGTAACGGTATGGCCTCACGTTAACCGGCGGTGTCCCGGGCTGTAAAAAAATGTTGTGGTCTGCCCAGCGACGTGGTGGCAGGCTGGTTGGCATATCAAAAACTGAAGCAAAGTCTTCTAATACCCTGCGAATCGCGGCTGGGATCAACCCCTCGTCCACTAGAGGGTCAGCCGAGGTGGCAGTGTCTTCCTCTATGGACATTATTTCATAGCATTCCATAAGTGAGTGTGAACGTTGCAGGCCCTGGAACATAGAAAAAGAGACTTGTTTGTTAGACGGTGCACTGCCGTTCAAACGAACCGGCTTGCCCTCCCAAGAGAATTCCATCGTCAACTTGGCGTAGTCGTGGCTGACCTTCCCCAGGTGTTGTAACCACTGAACCCCACAATATCCTGACCATGAATTGCGAGCACATACAAATCCACTGTGAATTTCGTGCCTTGGAGACTGAGGTTCACGGCTGGACACTGGGCAGTGCATGGCATCGAATCCCCATTCCCAACGTACACTCGAAAGGGAAAAACGGCAGTGACAGGGAGCTGTAAACGGGTGGCAACTTCGGGGTGTACGAAATTATGAGAACTACCTCCGTCTATCAACACACGGACCTCGTGGGAAGCTACAGTACCTTCTTCTCTGTTTTGTCTCTCCCTTCTTCTTGGAGTCCGGAGGCACTCGAAGCTCTCTCTTATTTGTTACGTGTTCGTATCACCTTAGCTCCCCCCTCCCCTTCAATTACACTCCCAATTTTAGTTGACTTTCGAGCCAAAAATTTAACTTCAAAGTCAACTAAAACTGGAAGGTGCAATTGAAGGGGTAAGTCAGGCCGGGATGTGGGTTAGGTGAGGTAGGAAATGTTAGGCACTTTGTGGTTAAAAATTTTTGTTTTTATATATTAGATCTCGATATTATGGAAAATTCTACTATGAATGGAAGTGAAGAATGAATATTTTCACATAAATTATTATGGGAGATTACATGTGTATATATACAAAGGTTTAGGAAACAATATTAAATGCACCCTATACAATTATGGTAGCTACCAATATACATTAATATTAAATATACTAAGAATATATTTAACATGCTCCCAACGGCACTAATGAAGATCGCCGCACGCCCAGACAATCTCGAAATTCGGAGAAGATCATAGAGGGTAGTCCCTTGGTGAAAATGTCTGCATACTGTAAGGAAGAAGACACATGAACTACACGTATCTGACCAAGAGCTACTCTGTCACGCACAAAATGAATGTCGACCTCAATGTGCTTCGTGCGCTGATGCTTGACAGGATTAGCCGAAAGATAAACAGCACTGATATTATCACAGAAGACCAGTGTGGACCGTGTCAGGGGTTGCCGGAGTTCTAGAAGAAGATTGCGTACCCAACTAACCTCAGCGACAGCATTAGCAACAGCTCGATATTCTGCCTCGGCACTGGATCGAGAGGTGGTGAGTTGTTGCTTAGAAGACCAGGAGATGAGATTGTCGCCTAGAAAGATGCAGTAACCGGATGTCGAGCGGCGAGTGTCCGAGCAGCCAGCCCAATCAGCATCAGAGTATGCCCGCATGTGATCCGTCAGAGAAGGTGATATGGTGATGCCATGGGTAGGTGTACCGTGAAGATAGCGCAGGACGCGCTTCATGGCTGTGACGTGTGGCACACGAAGATCATGAAGAAATAGACAGAGCTGCTGTACGGCATAGGTAATATCTGGACGGGTGAAGGTGAGGTACTGCAGTGCTCCTACAATAGAGCGATATAAGGAGGGATCTGGCGCTGGAGGACCAACGGTGGCCGAGAGCTTCCCGCGGGCGTCCACTGGTGTAGAAACAGATTTGCACGAGGTCATGCCGGCCCGTTCGAGGATGTCATAGATAAACTGAGTCTGAGTGAGAAACAGGCCGTGCGAGGTCCGCTGGACATTGATCCCAAGAAAGAAGTGAAGGTCACCCATATTGGTCATAGCAAACTCCCTTTTTAGTCGTTCAGTGAGCTGATGTAAAAGAGCAGTACATGAGGCGGTGAGGACAATGTCATCAACATAGAGCAGTAGTAGGGCCATGTCCTGACCGCGGCTGTAGACAAACAACGAGGTGTCGCTCTTGCACCCACTGAAGCCGAGAGATAGGACAAATCTTGTGAATCGCTGGTACCATGATTGGGGGGCTTGTTTGAGTCCATAAAGGGCCTTGTTGAGTTTGCAGACATAATGGGGACGAGCAGGGTCTTGGAATCCCGAAGGCTGAGCGGTGTACACAGTATCTGAGAGGTAGCCCTGCAAGAAATCATTTTTGACGTCGAACTGATGGATCGGCCATCCTCTGGACACGGCAAGGCTCAAGACGATGCGTATAGTGGCCGGTTTGACAACCGGGCTGAAGGTCTCGTCATAGTCGATGCCATGGCGTTGATTGAACCCACGAACAACCCATCTAGCTTTGTACCTGGACAGTTCACCTGTGGGGCCAAGTTTGTGGCGGAAGAGCCATTTACTGGAGATAACATTTTGGTTGGGGGAGGGGGGTACTAAATCCCATGTATGATTAGCTATCAAGGCATTATATTCATCTAGCATAGCATTGTACCAGTTAGGATCTTTGAGAGCACTACAGTAGGTAGGGGGTATTGGGGAGATGGATGCAACGGTGTTTAGGTTTAGGATTTGTTTGGGGCAAAAGACGCCGGCCTTGGACCGGGT